CCGGGTGGCAGAGTCAGCCAGCTGCTTCTGGTGGTTTAGCTGTTCCTTGATCTGCTCCAGCTCCTTCTGAACCTTCTCTAGACTCTGCTCCAACTCTGTTTGCCTGAGGGAGCATGGTTTATTTTTTTTTTTACTGATTTTGTGCTTTACTGATGTATGTGCTGGAAGACCTTCTCTAAGATGAGCACTAATGTAAGGTAGATGGTCAGTACCTGGCAGTCTTGGCCTGGTTCTGGTCCCTCTCTCTCTGCTCTTCCAGATCTCTGACCTGGGCCAGCAGGTTCTGGTTCTGCTGCTGAAGCTCTTGGACGCTGCGGAAAGCCACCTGCCGTGAGCCCTGGACCTCAGAGCTGCTGCTCACAGCTGAGCTCACATCCTCACGCACCACCTGATTACCACGTGCTTCCTCCACCTCCACCAGCAGCACACATACCTGAATCATAAGATAAAAATGTGGAAACGTATGTAGATTGTCATAAGAATTACAGTGCTGTCTGAGGCGAAGACTAGGTGATAATAGGGGTGTGCGATATTGAAACAGACTATATTGAGACTAAAATGTAACTCACAATATTAACTTACTGATTTTAAACACATTTCTAATTAGGACTGCTCAATTATGACAAAAATCATAATCACGATTATTTTGGTCAATATTGTAATCACAATAATTTAAAACTATTATTAGTGGGCCATATGACCAAAATTTTATATGAAAGATTTATTTAAAGATAGTGATATCAAATATATATTTTCTGTAAATAAGGTTGCTATGACATCTACATTATAGAGACCAGCGAAATGTCACAATTCTCAATACCACAGCAGAATACCAGAGTAACTAATATTAGTTAAAATAAAAAATAAAAAAGAAGGTCCTCAAAATTATTGAAATTAATTAAACTGTAATAAAAAAAGCAAAGGAATACAATGCCAGTAAGTATTAAGTCTAAAGTATTCAGTTAACAGCCTACTAGAGAAATTTAATAACCTAATGTAAAATAAAACAGCATAGTCTTCACTGTAAGAATTAAACTTCCTTTGTTTCTTATTAAAGCTACAAAAGTCCTTCAGTCAAGAGCAGTGAGTGATTTTGAATGTGTCTTTTGTTGTTTGATTAATATTAAGCACAAAGTCGGCAGCAGGAATATAGCCCGCTGTCACTTTAAGAGCCGCACGGATCCAATTTACTGTTACACAAGTATTTTCATTCTTAACTCTTTACTTTCATTTATTACATGACCGACGAGGGTTTACGTGAATAATCACTAAGCGCAGCATTGACACATTTTTGTGTGTATTTGACCGTTTAGGCGCTAAAAGATGACTTTATATGTCCGTGTTGTGTTCCGTCTCTGAGCGCATCCACAGTAATCTTCCAGAGGAAGCGCAAGTTCTTACACGCTTTTAAAAACATAAATCAATCTAATCAACTTAAATAAATTAAACACGTCCCATTTTGCAAAAGTCTCATTACATGATTTTACCAATTATGGAGGAACGAAAGAGCACCGCTGGAAAGGGGGCGGAATGGGGTGCAATAATCGTTTTCTCTCAATTACTGTATTTTCATAGTCGTTGGATGCTGAAATTGAAATCGAAACTGAATTTCGATTAATTGCACAGCCCTATTTCTAATCATGCTGATATTTGGGAAAACAGCACTCTTGCTTGTGCGATATTGCTGACTGTGTCATATACAAACAGAAACAACATTTTGCCCCATATATTGAATTTTTGCATTCTAATAGGCTACATCACACAGAGAAAGTGTGCACTCTTAAGGCACAACAACAATTCCAATATTATTGTAGATACATACTGCAAACCCCTAAGTGTTACATCTCAATGTTTATTGTAACAGACAGTCAGCGTGTAGCTTACCTGTTCAGACATGTCTGTTAGCTGTCTCTCTGATCTCTGCTTATCTCTCTCTAGCCCTAAAGCTCTCTTATTGGCTTCATCTGTCTCCTTCTGCAGCCGATGGACTTCCTAATATGCAAGAGAAAAGACACAGATTAATGTCACACCAAATCACCATAATGTTTTTTTCTCCTCTGCCATCTACTTCAAATATGTGCAAACCTTCATAGCTTGCTCAAGTTTGGCACAAAGGCTTCTCATTGACTTTTGCATGTTTTCATATTCTTCCCTCTGGCGTTTCAGGATGGGAGCTTTGGTCTCCACCTCTAAAACTATCTCATCCAGAACCCTGTGCACATGCTTGTTCTCCAGCTTCTCCAGGTGCAGTTGGTCTTGCGCCTCCACAAAGGCATTATACAGCTGAAAGCAAATGTAGGAACGTTACTTATAATGATACACACAAAATTAGTTCGTTTGTGATAAACATCTTTTATACCTCCATTAGCTTCATGCCCGGCTTAACAATCTTGGCCACTGCAGCTGCAGTTGGGGAGAGGTTTGTCAGCTCCTCTTCTGTGAGAGCTGGAACACCTGTTGAAGTATACAAATAAAAAATAAAGTCTTGCACAATGAGATGACAATTATTTACCCTAAAAAGATTCTTCAGCCTAAAACAAAGACAGGGTTTTTTGTGCTCATTACCTCTCCGCTTAAAGTCTGCAAGTCGTGTGTTGGCGTTCTCCAGCTCTTTCTCCAGATGCCTGACCTTCTCTTGTAGATCAGACTCTGCTCTCTCCCTCACACTCTGCAGATCTGACAGCTTCTTCTCTGTACCTTTATTAGCTGTTGATTAGAGACAGAATATCTGCTTAACACCACATAACATCTAAAACTCAAAAATTTGTAACTAAACCCAAAACAAGAAAATAGATATGTTTAGAGAAGCATACTACAATACTACTACATCTACAGTATGCATACTGTGAACAGATTTTGCACATGCAATACACTACACACAATATTCTAGATATTATATCCCACAATGCAATGTGCTCATCCTTCCTTTTCCATTGTAATGGTTGAAAAAGAAATATCTGTTACAATCTTAGCATTTTTTTAATATGAGAAAAGAGATTAAATTGAAATTTGTGCAAAATTAGATAACCTTGTATGGAATAACAAATGGATATGGATATAGATAGATAGATAAAATTACACTGAATTCAAAGTATACATTATCAGTTCACTCAAGTCCCAAGGAATTGAACCCATGACCTTGATTGCTAGCGCCATTCTCCGATGTCTAAGCTACAGGAATGAACTAAAATAAATTAACAAAATAACAAAAATATATAGATTAACTTAAACGTTTTTAATTTTCAAACCTTGCATCGCCTCCTTCAACAGTTTGTTGAGCTCTTCTACAGCTCTGTTCAATTCAGCGTTCTTGGCTTCAGAGTCTGCTGCTGCATTCTGTGAACACAATAGGATTGAGATTTTAATCATACCATACATTAACATTGGACCCTGCACAAAAAATATCAACATTAACTGACCTTGTACAAATTACAGAGTTTGAGGTTAGCATTCAGCTCATTGCGATACTTTTCCTCCATGGAGGCCCGCTGGTCTTTAGCCTAAAAACAGAAGACAAAACGCAACCTTAATTTAAATTCTCTTTCATGTGAAATGGTAAACTAAATAAGAACAGGAAGGTGATAGTGAACCTCTTTTAGCTTGTTCATCATATCCTCGGTACTCTTCTGCATGTTGTCATTGTTTTTCTTGAGCGTGTTCACTTGGTCCTGAAGTCTGGTCACCTGATTATGACACACAGTACGTAAGACTGTTGCAGATAAGAAATCTAATAAGAATATAGCTCAACTGATAAATAAGCATCTCAAAAATTCCTCACACCTCGTCCTTCTTGCTCTCTAAAGAGCACTTGAGCTCCAGGATCACTTTGCCCTTGTCTCTGGATAGTGTGTATAGCTCATCTGTCTTACTCTTCAGCTCTGAATTCAGCCATGTGTTCTGGTTCTGAAGGAGCTCCTTTTCTTGTTCCATTCGCTTCTCACGATACTGATGAGAAAGAAACACAGCAAACCTTTCAAACAATCAAATCAAAGTATGGACTCAATGACCAGATGTATTATTTCATTGTAGAGACAGAATTACAGCTAAATGGGAGTCAATATTCACCTGAATGGAAACCTCAGATGACTGAAGTTCATCTAATTTAAGCTGGAGCTCCATCTTGATTGTGTTGGTCTCGACAAGTTTGTCACCGAGACGTTTAAGATCCTCTGTATAATGAAGATAAGACACATTTGAGCAATTATGGATGTCAAAAGCATTGGTACTTTAGAACTAAGTACCAACTCAGCAGCACATATGAGCAATCAATTCGTTTCTGACTAACCGTTTACTTGATTATACCGAAAATTAATTCATTTACAAATAGCTAATGGATATGGTAGATTTGAAGATTTTCTTTGCAATATTTTGTGGAACACTGTTGTTATGTTGTTTCCTAAAATACCGTGATTTTCTATGTGTTTAGAGAAGTTTACCCTTTTTGATTTCATTTATAGTGAGACGTTCAACTGCTTCTGTTCTTCATTTTGCAGCTAAGCTGTAGTAACAGTGATTGCTCAAAATAAAGTCTAATAATAGCTATATTAATTTTTCATTCTATTCGTTACCATGCCTGATTCCTACATTTACTTTTAGCATTTAAAACAATTACTTTTATTTGTAATTGTTTTATTTCGACAAAATAGCATATTGCCTATTTATTATCGGCCATAATATGAAAATAATTTCACAGTGTTTGTCATGATCAAAAGGCTGACTAAATACACTTAATTTTGACTATTATTCACTGTCATTGAGAAGACTGACACTGATTTAAATGCTCATTTGAACTTCACGGATAATTATAATAATAATAATAATAATAATAAAATGAATCCCCTTAACTCCAATACCTGTCCAAATGTCACAATTTTCTCAATGAAGACACAGTATGTTTTGAAAGTGTAACATATGTTTGGTTGCTATTTTACAGTTGCAAGCAGGTTAATATTGCACAATATTGGATTTTTATTATTTTTTCCTTTTGTATGTATAGAGGCAGAATGGGTAGGAGTTATTTTGTAGATGAAGCTGTGGAGGAATATCTTAGTGGGCTTCAGGCAGCTCCTGGATCATGTGTGACCGGACTCCTGGCTGGCCAAGTAAGGAAACAAAACTCATTTATATTTAATAATGTCAGTACACACAACTATTTTTCCTAACCTTTTCTTTTCGCAGTCCTCTCCTCAGAGAGATTTTGTGGTGCTGGCTGTGCAGACTCCTCACAGGGAGAGTGAGGGGCAGCCGAAGGCTTCGAGAGGGGTCAGCCCACTGGATGACATTGATGTGGAGTGGGTCACAGAACATGCCAAGCAGGTGATTAGCCTGATGTCTTAGTTACCACTTACACGGTGGCTTTGAAATGTATTACTGTCTAGTTGTACAGTAAAGGATTTTGACTTTCCTTATTCTAGGTGTCCCGCATGTTACCAGGAGGTCTTTGTATTTTTTTTATACTGTACATTATGATGTTGTAATGCCTGAATTCATTTGTAGCATTTAAAACCATTTTTGTATTGTTTTACTATTCATTTATTTAGACAAAAGGATTTTAATAATAGCCATTTATTGGTTACCAGCCGTAGCATGAAAATTATGTCACACAATATTTGTCATGATTAGAAAGCTGACTTTTTTTTCCCTGTTTGCCTGTTATTTACTGTCTTTGAGAAGATTAATACTGATTTAAATTCTCCTTTGTACTGGTAGGCCATTAAGAGAGACATCATAAACACGGTTTGCTCCAGAGTGGAGATGTTTCTGGAAGATCTTTTAATAAATGAAGGGAGTCAAAAAGGTACAGTAGTCCATCATGTCTTACATGTGCTGTTAAAAGGGATGGTTCACCCAAAAATGACAATTCTGTCATCAGTTACTCACTCGCGGTGCATAAAAGAAGATATTTTGAAGAATATTAGCAACCAAACAGATTTGGTTCCCATTGACATCCATTGCAATGGTTACCAACATAGTTTTAGGTTCCACAGAAGACAGAAAGTCATTCAAGTTTGGAATGACATGAGTGCGAGTATGATAACAGAATCTTCGATTTTTGGGTGCGCTATCCCACAGCAAACAGTTCCACAACAAACCTTTGCAAACGTCAAACTTACCACTAGATGACAGTAGGTTGCCGCAATTGTCTTCATTGAGTGACAGCTTTTGTAAGTAGCACAAAAATAAATGTATTCATAATTCATCAATGTATTCATAATTCAAGTTCCCACACTGTTTTCCCACTAGGGTTGTGCAGTGGGCAGCAGGCCCTTCCTCGACGTGTGTTTGCACCAATGCCCATCTCTGGCCTGTCTGTGTGTGACTACATGTTCCCAGACGAAAGTACAGCTGATGTGGCCGAGCGTCTGAAAGAGATGCTGGACTGCGAAACGCCAGAAGAGGACATAGATACTAGTTTGGAGAGCAATCAATGTAGGTTTCCATTTTTTAGTAGTAGACTTTAGGGTTAATTCATTCTCTCACTTTATTTGAGCGTGTCTCATGTTATAACATGGCTTATTTGAATAATGAAGCGTCAGTACTTATGGAATTTCACTGTTGTATTGGTTTACAAGTATCACCTCTAGGCTTTTCTTAGTGGTCCTCAGATGTGTGACTAGGGCATTGTGCAATGTAGAGCAAGTAAGTCCTTGCAAAGTCGTTAGGATTCAGGGATGACTGAACTCAAGTATTGTAGGAGCTTTATGGTTAAAGAATGTGTATAGGTGTGTGACTATAGAATACCAAAGGATTAACCTTGTCAAAATGGGTGCATACAGGCCTTTTGTGACACACCCTGCCACATTTCTCCTCCAAAATAATAGCCAGCTACACCTTGCCTCTTGTTCAAACCAGTTTAAGTTTGCCCACAAATGGTTTCCATGTATGGTTAGAAGGAAAAATGTGGACGAGGTAATATGACTAGCCGCAGGCTATAGAATATCTGATCCCTTCTAATAACAAGCCCTTCCGGGAATTTTGGATTATCGTCTCTATGACAACACAACCTCCACCTTGGAAAGAGGAGATTATTTTCCTCTTCTTTTTTTTTTTTTCCTTGTGTCATTTCTTCATCTTCAGTGGTACAAGCCTGCGATACCTAGTCATTAAATTTTTACACGTTTGTGCATGATTTTTTTCTAAAGTATTTTCCACTGTTTCTGGATCGGAGATAACTTACAGCCATGACGATGATCCCAGTAAGCATGTCATCTCAGAAATCCAAGCTGAAAATCCCAGAATTCAGAAAGCCCCTCAATATTATGCTGGTAAGTTATTCTGAATTATTCATTTTTAAATAGATAGCTCTCTTTTTCTCTGTGTGCAATGAATTTTATTCATAAAATAAATAATTATCTTTCCATTATGGCATTAAATGGGACTCAACGATATACAGTCAAACCAAATATTATTCAGACACCAGATATAATTTTTTATATATATTTTTTTTACTAGGGGGTACAGGACGTTATAGTTAATTTATGTAAGTGAGGATAGTAAAATAAAGTATACTGTGACATATTATACCCAATAATTCTTCATACAGTGGAAAACTAATACAAATCTGGGACCAAAAATTATTCAGACTCTTTGACATGACCATGTTTTGCTTAAGTGTTTTTTCTTTAATTGCTAATGCGACCGAATTAAGCATTGCTTGGTAATTGGTTTACCTAAATTGGTATTATCTAATTGTGTACTTAAATTTAACAGCTGACAGCTATTCAACCTAATTCATTGCATACCTTTCTATCAAAAATATGTGGCATTATCAATTTGTTCTGACACCGTTTAACTCTGAGTTCTGCTCATATGTTGATGTGGAAAATGTGAAGGTGTCTGAATAAATGTAGGTTTGACTGTAGTTAACAATAGGTTGTATAATGATGCAGTGTGAGTGACTCCATGTTGGTTGTTAGTTGGCCTGATGTGACCATATTTTTCTTTGTGTGATTCCTATAATTCCTAGAGATATTCTCACATTTCCATTGGTCCATTTCCACCTCCTGATGACTGATGACCTCTCTTTCTTTCTCTCTCAAACACGCAGGTGTGGCGGTAGCAGCAGCCATTGCTCTCCTTGCCACAGCCACATCTCTATTGTATTTCAGTTAATGGAAATAGCAAAAATGTTTGTATGAGTGAGTGTGTATGTTTGTATAATATACTGTATGATGTTAAATATGATTTCAAATATAATTTTTATATTTGGACTATTATAGGATTATATAAAATACAATATAAGGCAAACGTATATGGAGACTCCCTTATAATCAATAGGTTTGGCTATTTGGGTCAAGTCAAATATTAATGTTACACTATACAATTACAATCTAGAGAATTATGTCCCCAATGTTCACTGTCTGACCCCACTGATGGGTTCATTTTCTTCTGAAATTAAATGTTCGTTGAGAAACACTTCACAAACTGTCACAAAAGTTGAAGCTGAAATTAGTGGAATAGACAAACCCGACGTTCTCATATATTTGGCCATCAAAATATACATTTCAAACCTGTTAATTGAGTAATAATATACTGGTTACTTAATGTAAATTACAATTATGTGTTTTGATTTTTTTTTTCTTGGAATCTTTCCTCCTAATTTTCTTTGTTGGAAGATTGCTCACTAGTGGCATGTTTGCACTCATGCAGCCTCAATAAAAGATCAAAAGAAAAAGGTTAATTGTCGTCATCCTGCACGTGTTCTTATAGAATGTTTGTGGCTTCCCTCAGTATATTGTCATTGTGCCATTTGTCTTGTCATTATCAAACCAGTTTCTTCTGGCTTCTGTAACAGCGCAGCATTAAAGGCATAAAGGAACTGTTATATTAAGTTTAACTGAAGGGAAAATGCCCTTGGCATGAAATACAATAGCTGGAAACTATTTTTGTGATGATGGAATGGGTAATGACGCTCCTTCCTTCTAAATCAGGGGACTTGATTATTTTTCAGACCTTGGATCCGCGGTTGATGCATACTTTATGATTTCTACATTGCAAAGCCATTAAAATTGTTCACATTTGAATGTGATTGGGCCCTGAAACATTTAGAGGAACTTTAGGTTTGTTCTTAGTTAATGCTTCTTTTTCTTTTTTTTTCTAGTTTCACATCAAACCATAATTGTTGGACCCCCTTTTAAAGACCCCTGTTCTAAAGTACCAAAATCATCATCGTCATTAGTTTTAACAATGTTACGCTGACCTAAAACCACATTCACATGCACCTTCAAACGAGCACTTACACATGAATACTCTCTCATACACACAGTAATCCTGGGATTTGTGAGTATGTTTTAGCAGTGATTTAGTTGAGGACGTGTCAGGACATGTTTTACCTGGAATGGCATTTGTAGCACGAAACTAGTCATGAAGACATAAAGGAACGAGGAGTGTTCTTGTCCTTTCTTGTGTTTTATTGAAGTAAGTCACCCTGATGTCATGTAGTGCAGCATTACACCATATGAAATCACATTATTTCATATGTTTTATTCATTAAGCAGATAGCGGCTCAATACACAAAGGATGACAAGAACAGTGTGACAGTTTGACTTTCATGTGGCAAGCCTAAGCATGCTTAAATAAGATGGCTACTCTCATTCTCTGCAAATCAGAGTTCCTATTATCACAGAAAACCAGACAATTGTATTCTGTTTTCTAGACCTGAAAAATGTCAGTGGAAACAATTCCATTTCTGTAATGAATGTACACTACTTTTTAAAAGTTTGAGGTCAGTATGTTTTGAAAGACGTTTCTTTTGATAAAAAATACAATAAAACTGTCATATTGAGTGAATTACAAATTAAAGTAGCTTTTATTTAAATATATTTTAAAGTGTAATTTATTTCTGTGATGGCAAAGCATTTTGAAAAAGCATTTTTTCAGCAGCCATTACTCCAGTATCACATGATCACTCAGAAATCATTGAAATATTCTGTTTTGGTGCTCACAAAACACTTCTTCTTAATGTCAGTATTGAAAACCGTTGTGTTGCCTAATATTTTTTGTGCAAACCCATAGATTCTTGGAGTAATGCTTTAAAAATAAAAATGTTTTTTTTTTTTTGTAAAATTATAAATAACTTTACAATCAATTTTGATCATTAAATGCATTCTTGATGAATGAAGGTATTACCTTCTTTAAAAAAATACTGACCCCAAACCTGTGAACATATGATCTCCTTAATAAAATATTCCATCAGCTTCTTCGCAAACCATAATAATGTTCGATTTGTGAGTGAATCTTTTTTTCCCTCGTCTTTTTAAATAATATTTTTTGGGCATTGTTGCCTTAAATAGTCATATGTGACCCTGGATCACAAAACCAGTCACAAGTAGCACGGTTATATTTTTAGCAATAGCCAACAATACATTGTATGGGTCAAAATTATCGATTTTTCTTTTATGCCAAAAACCATTAGAATATTAAGTAAAGATCATGTTCCATGAAGATATTTTGTACATTTCCTACCATAAAGATATCAAAACTTAATTTTTGATTAGTAATATGCATTGCTAAGAACTTCCATTTGGACAACTTTAAAGCAGCACTATGTAATTTTTCTGTGTTCAAAATTTGCTAAATGTATATAATGAGCGAGTATATCATGAATTCATCTTCCAAATCGCGTTTTTGTCTTATTCCGAATCACTACGGTACACTTATAATAAGTACATGTACTTATATATGTATATATTTGGACTATTGAAGCCTGGTCGGGTCGTCACCGCTGCGGAGTAACACATCCCTGCGTGAATCGCCATAGTAGACATAAACTTAGAGAAGTAGCTCCGGTTGGAATGTTCTTCCGCGGGATGTGTGCAGTTCTGTTTATTAACCGCTAGTGCGCCACAAGTTACATAGTGCTGCTTTAAATGCGATTTTCACAATATTGAGATTTTTTTATTTTTTTGCACCCTCAGATTCCAGATTTTCAAATAGTTGTATCTCAGCCAAATATTGTCCTATCCTAGTATTATCCTTATCCCAGCACTGCGTCGTGATACAGTGGAGAACTTCCCTGTGGATCTGACAAATCTTTCTTGTGAGTCTTTTCACTTTCACTGCAAATCTGCTTCATAAATCGGTCAAAATGATTCATGAGTGAGTAAATCTTAATTTGAATGTTTTCTTTTGTTTTAAATCCTTATCCAGGAGTCACAAACTAAAGGGCATGAAAAAGTCACGGAAACTCATTAGTCAAAACTTGTGGGAACCCTGGCAAATGAAACGAGCATGACTGTGTGCCTTTGATAACACTATGAAGTATTTAACTGCTGTAAATCACGTGTTAGCAAATGCCTTGAGGTGTGCGTGTTTGTTGAAGTCATGGCCCAGTCAGAGCGTCATTACTCCATCTATCTCTGAAACAAGACAGGTTGACTAATATAATTCACTTCCACCCTTTGAATTTCCTCAATTATTCTACGTCGGCATTCTCTTCCTCAACGGGACAGGCTGCAAAATCTTTCTCTGGCAGCAGGCCGTACTCATTTAGGAAGTTCTCCACATCCGTAGCGAAGAACTCCTCATTCAGATGCTTTGTAATGCACATAAAGTTGCCCAGCAGCTCTCCAGCCTTGTACACCAGCAGGGTGGGCAGAACGTCGTCTGAAAAACGCTCACCCGCTCCTGTGGCAGAGGCTCGGATTCGGCAGAATTTGACAGTGGAATACTCTGCTGCCAGGCAAGTCAAGCAGTTGTTGAGAGCGTCACATCCTCTGATCCCGTCATCATAGATGTGCACAACCACTAGGGTCAGATGGTGCTCTTTCTCGATGACATCCAAAAAGGCCTCTCCACTATCCAACTCAAACACGGCATCGAATTTAGGCCCAAAACTCAGGCGCTCATGCATCTCCTGCATGCACTGCCTGCGATACTTATGCAGACACCTTTCGTCCTCTTCTTGGATCATTTCATACTCCTGAACGCTCATCTGCATGTGGTCAGACATAGCAACATAGCAATTTTAATAAACACGCAAAGCAACTCCTACACTGCCAGTCGACAAATTTAATTGAATTGTTTCTGAAATTATTCTGATTATCTTAAAAACATGTTAGTGTAGTGTTAAACACTTGAAATGAGGGGTTCAAGCACGTAGAGCTGAAACCTTATTGTAATTGTTTGAATGGCCAAGGATCAGCATTCTCCACCTAAAACTGATCGGGCAGACCAAACCGTAAGTCGTAGAGACTTGAAACTAGAATGGATGGTAGTAGTCACATCGTCTACAATGTCACCAAAGCTCGTCCCAATTGGCCTGACAGGGGCACTACAGCGATCAAAAAGTATGAAAATAAACATAACTACTAAACCGGTCGTGGCAGGCTCAAGTGTCTTATATCATTGGAATCCTTGGCTCACAATGGACAACGCTACGAAAAAAATTTAATCACATTTTTGGGGTATTTTGTTTTTTTTAAGTAAAACCTACTTTTGAGAACTAGTCCTACACGATCGGTATGAAACCAGTGCAGAAAGATTCTCTGGAGATGGTGAATATCAATAATTATCAAAAAAGTTGAACTTTCAACTCAGAGATATTTTCGCTAAACTCAGAAGAGCTATGTAAGAGCTCAATCTGAGGTCACAGTAAAAAGACAAAAAAGCAGAGGAGTCTGGCCACTTGGTGGTTCTATAACAGGGAGAAAAAAACATAAAAATGGCTATAACTATGCACTTGTTGGTCCGATTGGTATGCAGTGTCTTTGGCCAAAGTGCCACAAGCATCTATAATGGTGCGTTCAAGTCATGTCGGATAGATCGTATTTACGAGTTGAACGCACATGAATGCCACCACAAAGTCATTATTATGAGTGGGAAACTCGAAATTTTCTTTAAGCCCAGAGTTTCCGAGTTGGGGACATGTCAATGAGAAACATGGCAGAATCGATGGATGCAGCGTCTGTAGTTGACGGTAAATTTTTGTTTAAATTGATAGTTTTGATGAAGTTTTTATGTGATACAGATTCAAGTGGCTTCATAAATTACTTTTTAAAAATATTAAAAACGCAAAACACACCTGATGCAAATTCTTTGCTCTTCATTTTCTATAAGCAGAGTTAACAGACCCTGTTGTATTTTCTTGTAATTTATTAAAAGAAGGTACACCGCCATCTTGTGCCGACTAAACTGACTTGAACGCACCTGACGTCGTAATTACGACTTGTCAACTCGTAAGTACGAACGTCCCAGGAGGACTTGAACGCAGCATAAGGATCTCAAAAAACATGGCCGCCATCAGCCAATGAATTTTGAGCACCTATTAGACAAGGTTAATGGAGGCCAATCGGAATGAAACTCGGTGTGCATGTTTGAACTATGGCCCCAGAGGTCTGTACGTTTAGTTTTATGTTTACTCTAAATTATAAATTGTCTTTATGTATGAATTTCTTTACAAAATTTACATTTAAATTTTTTAATAATTTTTTTTATTAATTTAATTTAATTAATGGTTATTAGACCAAATAGTGAAGGAAAAGCATATACACTACCATTCAAAGGTTTGGGGTCAGTAAGATTTTTTTAAAGAAGGAAATTAATACTTTATTTAGCAAGGATGCATTAAAACGAACAAAAGTGTTCCAAACTATTTCTGTTTCACATAAATGATGTAGTTTTGAACTGCTCATCAAAGAATCCTTAAAAAATATTTTGTGGTTTCCACAAAATTATTCAGCAGCAAGGGTGTTTTCTCCATTGAAAATTAATAAATGTTTCTTCAGCACCAAATCAGCATGTTAGAATGATTTCTGAAGGATCATGTGACACCTGGAGTAATGACTGCTGAAAATTCAGCTTTGCCATCACAGAAATATATTGTTGATCAAATAAATGCAACCTTGGTGAGCATAAGAGATAAAAAAAAAAATTCAAAAATCTTACCAACCCCAGTTTTTAGAAATAGTAATGTAGTTTACACAATTTTTAAAGCACTGTGATTACCTCATGAATATTTACTTAACATTTTTTGATCATTGCATAATTTTATGTTATTTCACAGTTTTGATGACTTTACTATCATTTGAAAATGTGGAAAATAATAATTATACAGAATGAGTAGCTATGTATAAGCTGGTAAGCTATGGGATGTATTTGGAATTAAAATGACTCATTTTATTGTGCTTGTTATACTGTATCCATCTCAAGGATGATCAGAAGAAATGGACAGCACCTGAGTTAAATATATGAGTGTCACAGCAAAGGGTCTGAATACTTAGGACCATGTGGTATTTCAGTTTTTCTTTTTTAATAAATCTGCAAAAATGTCAACAATTCTGTGTTTTCTGTCAATATGGGGTGCTGTGTACATTAATGAGGAAAAAAATTAACTTAAATGATTTTAGCAAATGGCTGCAATATAACAAAGAGTGAAAAATGTAAGGGGGTCTGAATACTTTCCGTACCCACTGTAAATGTCAGTTGGGAATTTTTTACTGTTACCTTGCGGTTGAGTTTTTCCTGGGTGTCATCATTACTGGGTTTGGGGTTGGACATCTGTCTGAGGAGCTCTCTCTTGTTTGGAGGGACGCTTTCATGGTCCTCACTCTCAAGTTTGAACTTCCTCCAGTCATGGATCACACCTTTGGGCCCTGAGATGCAAAGGTGTTTTGTCATTTAAGATCTGAATTTGTCATTTCAATCAGTGGATTGATGGATAAATCGTGTTAAATCCGTTTCTTTAATTACAGATAATCATGGGTGTATCAAAGCATAATGAGTGAAATCTCCAGTATTGCCTCATCATTACTGTAAAATAATGAATAGCTAGCAGGATGTGTTCTGCAATCAGTGTGATACTCTAGAATCTAGAGTCATTCCTTGTTTCGATATCAGTAATGAAATCTTTTTTCACCTGTTTGTGTTGCTGGTAGTTCCTCAATCTCAGGTGAACCTGACATGATGAATCCTCGAAGGAGACCTGATGATAGAAATTACAGAGACATTTTTTTGTCTTTATTCATTTGTTTGTGCTTGTGGTTTCAGTTTAAATAATAATAAGTTGTTGTTCCATCTGAATATGCCCAGTTTGTGCAACATCCTCTAAGAAATGACCTGATTTTATATTTCCAGACGATATGAGATGCACAAACATATGGGAAGTTTTATGTTATGATGGGTTACGCTAGTGCAGT